TGCACACCTTTCAGCCTTTCTTTGCTTGATTTCGGCAGCCTCTGTATTCACTGGCCACTTCTAACTCCAAACACTTTCTCTAAAATGTCTTCTGCTAGACTTTGCTTGGCAGCCTTCCCCTGCTATCTTCCAACCTGTGCCTCACCGTCCCCTCTGAGGCACCCAAGTACTAGTGTTGCCTTCAGGGCTTGGACAGTGTTTGGCTCAGCTTTGTAAACATGCACTTAGGGTCCTGCAAAGCAACAACAACAGGCTGTGGAGTGAACAGATGAATGGCCGCTCAGCTGGCACAGGAGGAATTATCACTCAACCCCAGAGTCACCCAGCTTGAACCCCTGCTTGATCCACCCAGCCAAAAGGACTGTTCTCAAATTGGAAGCAGTTTCATAATTAGAAGAAGAAAGTTGAGCACTAGAAAAAAAATTAATGTGAATAGTAGAGTAAAAAACTTGAAGATATTCTTGCAACACACACAGAGATTTAAAAATAATAACAGATACTTTTGATCTACAGAGTAATACAAACTGTAATGGTTTGTATACCCCACCAAGTGCAGACACCAGAATTTCTGCTTAGCGTCTGAAAGCTCTAACAACAGCACTGTAGTGAGAAAATAAACATACAAAACCTGCGTTTAGTTCTCATTTCACTGGGGCCAGTAAACAACCCATTTGGCTGGTGGGCGTGGCTCAGGGGACAGAGCCACACTTGAGTGCACCACGAAGAAGGACGTTAAGGCGACGGTGGGCACCAGACAGGTAGCTCAAATTGTGAGTCTAGCGCTTGTCCCTATCTGTAATTTTTTGTTACTGGCATTCACTAAGACAAGTAGATAAACTGAGGCAATGAACATAGAAGATTTTGCAATAATTTGATAAGGAAATTGTCCATTATTTACATCAACAAACAAAATTGTGTTTAAATTGGAATCTTTCATTTTTGTATTTTATTAAAGTATTTTATTAAAGCAGCTGTCAATAGCCCAAAAGAACTGAAATAGACACAAACTATGCATTAAAAGATACTCCAAGGAGTAAAGAGATGAAGTTATAAAAGGGAAAGAATACTCAAAACACATTATACACATTTCGTAAAATTTGTATAATGTGCATAATGTAAACAACCTATGATACGTAAATAATTCCAATCATTTAGAAAAAATGGACAAAATATTTAAAACAGGCATTTGGTGTGAGAACATTTTATTGATTGATTGATTGACTGATTGGACCTGGGGATTGAACTCAAGACCCTGCGCTTGCCAGGCAGGCGCTTATAACATTTTAATACTTGAATAACATGTGATAAGTGCTCAACTTTACTATCATCTGAGAAAGGAATATATACTATCACTAACATCACCACTGAGGAGCCACCAGACGGTGGTCTTGGAGGTCGGTGAGGACACTGAACAAGACTCTGGTGGGAGGGAAGGCTGACCAGAACGCTGCAGGGAATTCTTCGGCATCATTCAGCTCAACACACACACACACACACACACACACACACACACACACACACACACCAGCCTAGCAATTCTACCCCTAGGAACTAGTGGTCAAATGTTCCCATGTGAACCAAGTGATATGGATGAGAGCTATCATGACAGCATAGTTTGTGACGGCCACTAAATGAGAACAAGCCACATGAGCTGGCTGATAAGCAGTGGTGTGAACCAAGGGCTCTTGCAGATAGTCCAAGGACAGTGTTTCTACACATTCAGTGACACTGCTACCCTGCAGCCAAGCTGCTCGGAAGAACCAGCATTCACTTGGTCTCCAATGTCACGAGAGGTCGGGGATCAGCACCTGAAGGACTCTGGGGGTGAGAGGAAACCTATTGTGATTAAGGAACAATTCAGGGTCTGGCACGAGTGCTGAGCTACAAGCCCAGCTCTGCAGTAGAGCTTCCCAATGCCCCTGAAGGGTTCAGCCTCTTCAGTTGGCACTGGAGGTACTGTGGGGATATCATGTTGGGTTGAGGAAGGTTTCACATTACTCACTGGGGCTGAGGCTTGAGCTGCAGCATCATGGCAGATTAGGAAAGTTCCCACCTTTGCCGTGGGTTCTGCTGTGATGGTAAGCTTGGAGGTTTATCAGTCACAGATTTGGAGGTTTATCAGTCACACTGGACAATGCTAAGGTTGGCAGGGACCTGGCAGTGAAACTCACTTCAGGATGCTCTAGAGACTGAGACAGTTGCTCCTGCTGGTGGAAGAGGGTTCCACCTCAGTATGGTGTCTAGCTGGCTTCCAGAAGGTTTGACCTCCCAGAAGACTCAGAAGGCTACTCTGGGTTCTCCTGCTGGCTAGGAAAAGGTTCAGCTTCCTTAGGAGGCCCAGAAGCTGAGCTCAGGCCTCCTGCTGGGCTAGAGAAGGTTCAGCCTCCTTGGTAGGCTTTGAAGTTATGGTAGGTTCTAATACTGAGTAAGTAATAATGGTGAACCTGATCTCAACCTGGAGGCTGAAGTATCACCTAACAATGTGATTGGAGTTTCACTTCTTTTTTTTTTTGCGGAACTGGGGATTGAACTCAGGCCCTTGCGCTTGCCAGGGAAGAGCTTATTCTACTGAGCCATCTCCTCAGCCCCTGGAGTTTCACTTCTATTTTCTAAAGTGGATCCTAAAGCGTGAACTCCTTGCTCAACTGAAGTTTTGATTTCCTCAGGAGTCTTTCCGGGCTGAGCTAGAGCTTCCTGCTGGATTCCAGAAGGTTCAATTTCCCCAGGGGACTCAGATGGTTGAACTGGCTGCTCTTCTTCACTGGGAGAAGATTTAATCCCTACAGAAGGGCGGAGAAGATGAGCTGCATGTTCTAGTTGGGTTAATGAAGGTTGACTTCCTCAGGACTCTCTGGGAGCTGGGTTGGGGCCTGCTGCTGGAATGGAAGAAATGAAGGCTTCTTATCTGTCTGTGAAGTGATTGAAACCTCCATATCCATAGGTTTCACCACAATGTTTGGTAAGTGTGAGAGATAAAGCTCACTTCTACTTGGAGATAGAACATGTACCTTCTGAGGCAGACAACTGACCCATAAGCTCCTCAGTAGTAAGTTCAGACTCAGCTGCTGCCTCCTTGCTGGGCTGAAGATGTTTATTTATTTATTTATGTAAAAAAATTTTTTTTTTAAAAATTATTTATTTATTTGTGTGTGTGGCCAGCTCAGCCCACCAGGGGGCGGGGCTGACTGGCATGTGGTGCTGGGGGATTGAACCGCGGTCCCTTGTGCTTTGCTGAGCTTGTTCTAAGTAGGTGCTTTAGACCACTGAGGCATCTCACCAGCCCATATTTATTTATTTTTGTGGCTGGCTCAGCCCACCCTGAGGCAGGGCTGGCGCAGCATGTGGTGCTGGGGATCAAACCGCAGTCCCTATGCTTGCCTAAGCTTGCCTAAGCAGGCGCTTTAGACCACTGAGCTATCTTGCCAGCCCTGAAGGTGTTTAAATATCTTAGCCTGGATACATGTATTTTGAAGCTATAAGTATACACAGTTTTGGAATCTAATATCTTCCCAGTGAGGTGAATCATTTTTTCTGTATGAAATAGCCTGCTTTACCTCCAGCAACATTTTTTTCTTTGAAATTAACTCTACTGGCTAGTTTTTCATGGCTTTCCCCCCATTCTTTCACTTATAAACTTTTATTATTATAATTAAAATGTGTACTAGGACTCTTTAAAGTTCTTGATGGGGCACCCCTCACATCCAGAAGATTGGTAGCCCCAGAGCAGGCAAGGGGGCAGACAGAATAGTTAGCTCTCACTGGTGGGTCACCTCACCCCTTGAAGCAGACCACACAGCTGTCCTGGAGTTGGCCCCCTCTACCATGCAGCCCACCATGACTGACTGATAAAGTACAAGGGAACAGTACTTGCCAGATGAGTCTGATCAATTGTATAGAAGTCCCCTGAAGGCCCACCTCTCTTGCATTAACCCACAGCATTGCTCTTGGTGTCCCCACATGGGTCATGCACAGACGTCAGAATCACCACATTCAGGGAAGCCCCCTTTCCTGTACTGTATTCATGACAAAACCTCCCAGCTCTGTTTACCATTTAAAGGTTACTTTTCTCAGAAGTCACTAGGTCAGCTGATATTCCCCATGGACCAGTTTCCCAAGAAAATGAGCAAGAAAGTTAAGGGTCAGTTTGATCCTCAGGGAAGGGCAGATTGTACTGACCATTTACTCCTGGAAAGGAAGATGGGCTCAGTTGTATAGATTCTGCTTTGAAATGCTGCAGAGATTACCAGGTTCTAGATGTTGCCAGGTCCAGAGTTTAGCTGAAAGGCTGAAAGCCACTTCTGAAAGGCACCTTGGTGGAGAAGAGCTCACCATCTGTGGCCAGCTGAAGCACAGCCTTTGCTGTCCTGTGTTGTAGTTTGGGGTTTTGCAAGGTGAACAATACAGGACACATATTTTATGAGATTATTTCATAATTCCCTGAAGAATCACATACAAGAATGCAGGAAATCTGTCCACACACTAAAGACCAAAGAATCCAGCTGAGGGCCTGGATCCCACAATAATATCCTGCATGAGCCCAGCTGAAGACCTAGAGCTCATAACAAGGCCTCCCACGAGTCCAACTGGAGGGCTCTAGGCATGTCTCAGGCAGGTCTGTTTTACGAATCCACACTGGAAAGGCCCAAAGGTCAGTGGTGGTAGTTAGAAAGTCTTTGCCAGCAGGATGAAGGATCTGTACTGGAGCCAGGAAGTGAACCTCTAAATAAGAACCAGAGCTGCCCTGAAAAGTACCACAGCCATTCTCAGCAGCAGTGAAACCCCAAGCGCCTCCAAAGGACGGAACCCTCTCTCTTCCTCATTTCCCTTTTGTATCCTCTGAGTGATGAGCCACCCTAGGTGGCTCCTCTGCGCCCCTGGGGTGTAGAACTGCTGAGCCAATTTATTCTAAGCTTCTCCAGTTGACATAATCAGTCAACCATGACAGCCTGTGTGGGCTCTGTGAGAGTGGAGAGGTGCTCAGCCGCAGGGCTCTTGCTTACCTTTCCCGCAGGCCTGCACCAGGCCATACCACTCGCCACAGCTGTTACACAGCAAGGTGAAGGCTGTTTCTCGGTGGCCCGCGACAGACCCCAGGGCACACACATACAGCAGCTCGTCCCCCATATCCAGGCCAGTACGGCCCTGCAGGATGGTGTGTGGGAACGCAGGCGGGTCTCCGCATGGCTTCTCTGAGAAAAAGGAATCACCGTCAGCTTTTCCAAATGGGGAGAACTTTTTCAGCCTGTGAGAACGCACACCTGGAAAATGCCCACCTCCTATCCCTGACTCCCTGTGTCAGTGCTTCCAACTACACCCAAACTGGGATCCTAAGGGCAGTTTCTCATTCATCCTAGTAACCCCAGGGCCTGGCAGAATGCCCAGCACAGGTGAAGCGCTCAAAAGGTACTTCTGGAATAAATAAATGTGGTATATATTCTATAACATTGTATATATATTTCATGTGTTTGGTACACGGTCTCATTACACAGCTCAGATTTATAATGATCTTCCTGTTTTCAGCCTCTCCAGGGCTGGGATTATAGGTGTGTGCCACCATGCCTGTCTCAGTGGCCAGCTCAGCACCCCTGTGGGCAGGCCTGACATGGTATGTGGTACTGGGGATTGAACCTTGGTACCTGCACTATAGCTCTGATTTGAAAATTGCCAGACCACACAAGCTTCTGATGTGTCCTTGAAAGAAGGACCCAGAGACACAGGTCTAGCAGCAGCTCCTTTTGTCCTTTTTACATATGTGAATAGGTTTGCTGTGAAAAGTTAAGATGCTACAGACTTGAGTGTCTTTATGAGGGGGGATCAAAAACCCAACCAAGGATGCTGCCCAGTGCCATCCAGTGGAAAGGCAGGCTCATGAAAACATTACAGCGTGTCCTCACGCACCTCAATCAGGAATCTCACACCATGTAACTTTGGGTATTGCCCGAAATAAAAATGACCATGAAAGGTAAATGTTTTGAATCAGTTCAAGACATTGAGGCAGCCATGACAGCACAACAAAAGACACTTAGGAAAGAGGACTTCTAGAACTTCTTCAGGAAGTGGCAAGAGAGATGGGATAAACGCATTTGAAGTGAGAGGGATATCTAGTACAATCTTGAGGGGGTCTAGTACAATGTCTTCTACTGTAATAAATTCTTTAAAAAATTCAAACATTCACTAAAGTTTTCGATCATACCTCATATATATAATGCACATATATTAACATAATATAAACAGATTTATGTTAATCTATATATATTAACACAAATAATACGTTTCACTGAGTGCTATGCTTTTTTATTTTAATAAACCATTTTTGAAGATAAGTTTTAGATTCACAGCAAAACTCTGAAAACACATAGAGTTTTCATATTCTCACTTACCCTTCCTCTGTAAACCTCCCCAAAGTCAATATCCTCCACTACAGTGGTATATTTATTATAATCAGTGAACCTGGGCCGGTCAAATAGCTCAGCAGATTAAAGTGCCTGCAAGCAGGCGCAGGGGCCAGGGTTTCCATCCCTGGGCCTGCTGTGCCAGCCCCACCCCGCAGGCACGCTGAGACAGTTATTGAAACTGGGCGTGGTGGCGCGCACCTGTAATCCCAGCTCTTTGGAGGCTGTAAATGGGCGGATCATTACAAGTCCAATCTAGTGGTGAGACTCTGAACACACTGTAGACCCTTCCCTAAAATAATAATAAAAAAAAAAAAAAAAAAAAAAAAAAAAAAGGACCTACCTAGATAAGTCTATCTGTAGACCCAGTGAACCTACACGGATATGTCTATTTGGTGACCCAAAGTCTATATATTACTTTTCCATTCACTCTGGGTGCTGTACATTCTGTGTTTGGACAAATGTTTGAAGACATGTATCCACCACTGTTGCATTATCCAGAGTAATTTCACTGTCCTAAAGATCAACTGTGCTATGCTTATGCATTCCTCCCTTCCCCAGTGCTTGGCAACCACTGATTCATTTATCAAAGAATGTGACTGATTGTGGAGGAAGAGTATTAGTTTTGTAAGAAGCTGACAAACTGTCTTCCAAAGTGACGGTGCTATTTTTCATTTCCATCAGAAATGAGAGCTCCTGTTGATTCACATTTTCATCAGCATTCAGTAGTGTGAGGGTTTAGGATTTGGCCCATTCTGGTACAAAGACAGTGTATCTGTTGTTTTAATTTGCAATTAATTAATGACACATGAAGTTGATCATCTTTTCATATGACTGTCTGCCATCTGTCTTTTTATTTGATGAGGTGTCTGTTTAGATTTTTTTGTCCTATTTTTATCCAAGATATTCATTTTATTATTGCTAAGTTTTAAAGGGTTTTTGTACATTTCTCATAGCAATCCTTTATTAGATGCGTCTTTTGCAAATATTTTCTCCAGCCTGTGGCTTGTGGCTTGTCTTCTCATTCTCCTCACACTGTCTTTTACAGATCAGAAAGAATTCAATTTTTAGTGAGTTCAGTTTTTCTATTATTTCTTTCATGGTTCATGCCCATCTCACATCCAGGAAGTTGTTTCTTCCATGCTAGGCCCTCTAGGATTTCTCTTATGTTATCTTCTAGTTTTATTAGTTTTTATTTAATATTTACAACTGTGATTAATTTTGAATTTTTTTGAGGGGGAATTTAGGTCAGATTATCCAGTTTTTGTAATACCCATATGGTGACAAGACTGCCTTTCCTCCTTTGTCAAAGAGCAATTGACCACATTTATGTGAGTCTGTGTTTGGGATTTTTAGTCTATCTGATTGATTTATTAGCCTATTCTTTTGTGAATACCTTACTGTCTTGGTTACTGTAGAAGTCTTAAAGTCTAACAGCATCAATCCTCTGACCTGGTACTTTAATGCTGAGTTGGTTACTCTGGGTCTTAATTAATTAATTAATTAATTAATTTCTACAGGGTCTTGCTAAGCAGCTTGGACTTGTAGTGATCTTCCTGTCTCAGCTTCCCCAGCATTTGGTACTGGGTTCAAACCTGGGTCCTTGTGCCTGCGCTTGCCAGGCAGGCACGTAGACCGCTGAGCTATCTCCCCAGCCCTACTCTGGTTTTTTTGCTTCCCCCTATAATCTACAGAATCAGAATCTTCATATTCATAAAATAACTTTCTGGAATTTTGATTGGGGTATCCATGCATAGAGCAAGTTAGGAACAACTATGTTAACAATATTGAGTCTTCATATCCATGAATATAGAATATGTCTTTACTTATTTACTTCTTTAGTTTATTTCACTAGAGTTTTGTAGTTTTCCTTGTATAGGTCTTGTTATCTTTTCTTAGATTTATAGTAAGGCATTTCATTTTTGGGGTTTTTTAATGTGAATGATGATGTATTTTTAACTTCAGATTCTACTTGTTCATTGGTAGTATACAAAAAGATGATTATCTTCTGTATATTAACCTTGCATCCTGTAACCTTGCTATTATTAATTCCAAGAAGTTTTTAATTGTTGTTGTTATTTTGGCTTCTTTTTCTTTTTAAGACAGTTTCTCTATGCATTTCAGGCTGGCCTTGAGTTCACTGTGTAGCCCAGGCTGTTCTCAAGCTTGCAATGATCCTCCTGCCTCAGTTTCCAAGGTGCTAGTATTACAGGTGTGCACCATCATGCCCATTTTTATTTTGGATTGTTTTGGTCAGTTTTTTCAGATGTTCCACATGATTATGTTATCTGCAGACAAAGGCAGCTTAAATTCTTCATTGTCAATTTGTATAACTTTTCTTTCCTTACTGTTTTAGTTAAAAGTTATAGTATGATGTTGAAAAAAATGATGTGAGAGGACATCTTTTGCTTTATTCCTGATCTCAGTAGGAAATCTTCATGCTTTTCAATAATAACGATGATGTTAGCTGTCAAGATTTTGGTATATCTTTTTTTGTTGAGGAAAGCTATGTAATATAGGCTGGCCTTCAACTCGCTTCTATAGCCCAGGCTGCCCTCGAAGTCCTGGGGATCCTTCTGCCTCAGTCCCTTGAGTGCTAGGATTATAGGTATGTACCATCATACCCAGCTCGCTTCAGATTTTTTCTTTAATTTGTGTTATTTAGAAGCATGCTTTTTAATCTCCTGATATTTGGGATTTTCCAACTATTCTTACAGAAATAGTAGCACCTGTAATCCTAGTATTGAGGCAGGAGGATCACTATGAATTCAAGGCCAGCCTGAGCTACATAAATGAGTTCAAGGTTGGCCTGCACTATTCAGGTTTCCTCAACTTAATAAATATTTCTATATTTTTGAAAGTTTGTATTAAGAATGGATTTTGGGCCGGGGAGATGGCTCAGTAGAATGCCGGGGAGATGGCTCAGTAGAATAAGTGCTTCCCTGGCAAGCGCAAGGGCCTGAGTTCAATCCTGGGTTCCGCAAAGAAAAAAAAAAAAAAAAAGAATGGATGTTGGATTTAGTCAAATGTTTTTTTTTTTTTCTTTTGCATCTATCACTGTAATCATGTGACTTTTCTTCTATAGCCTATTGATGTGTTGGTTTTTGTTTGTTTGTTTGTTTGCTTTTATAGTGCTAGGGATCAGACCCAGGACCTTGGGTGTGCTAGGCAAAAGCTCTGCAACTAAGCCACAGCCCCGACCAATTAATTTCTTTTTAAAGGTGAAACTACTTGTGACAAATCTCATTTAGTCATGGTGCTTAATTATTTTTATACACTGTAAGATTCACACTGCTAACATTTTGTTGAGGATTTTTGCATCTAGGTTCATGAAAGTGCAAACATTTGTAATGTCTTTGTCAGGGCCAGGGAGATGGGTCAGGAGAATAAGTGCTTGTCTGGCAAGTGCAAGGGCCTGAGTTCAATCCCCAGTTCTGCCAAAAAAAGAAAAACAAACAAAGAAACAAAAAACAAAACTAAGCAAACAAAAAACCACATGTAATACCTTTGTCACATTTTGGTATCAGAAATGCACAGATCCAGTAGGCAGGTTAGTAAAAACCATCAACTGGAGGTAATTAAAATCTATAGGCTAGGGGCTGGGGAGATGGCTCAGTGGAATAAGCGCTTGCCTGGCAAGTGCAGGGGCCTGAGTTCAATCCCTGGTTCCACCAAAAGGAAAAAAAAAAAAGAAAAAAGAAATCTATGGACTATTTTTATCAAACAATAGAAGATTAAAATTTTTTCTTAAGCTACACAGAACATTGACTCAGACAAACCACATTCTGGGCCATAAA